CTATGATGCACTCTACTGACCTGTAATGTGCTCTAATGTCCTGTAAAGTATTCTACTGTAGTGTGATGTACTCTACTGTCCTGTGATGTACTCTATTGTCCTATGATGCACTCTACTGTCCTGTGATGTACTCTATTGTCCTATGATGCACTCTACTGTCCTGTGATGTACTCTATTGTCCTATGATGCACTCTACTGTCCTGTGATGTATCCTATGGTCATGTCATGTACTGTACTGTCCTGTGATGTATCCTATGGTCATGTCATGTACTGAACTGTCCTGTGATGTATTCTACTGCCCTGTGATGTACTGTCCTGTCCAGTGATGTACCAATATGGTACATATGGTCCTATGATGTATGCTGCTGTCCTGTGTTGTACTTTATTGTCCTGTGATGTACCTACTGTCCGATGATGTATTCCACTATCCTGTGGTAGACCTAGAACTCGTGTTTCTGTGATATACCTTACTGTCCTGTTAGGAACCCTGCCATCCTGCGGTATACCTTGCAGTCCTGTTGTGTACCATGCAGTAATATCCCTGTTGTGAACTTTAGTGTTCAGTGGTTTACCAAAGATGTTCGCCTGCCGGCCTGAAGGTCAGAGTTTCAAATCGAGCTGGGTTTTTTCCTCCTTCAAATTTTGCAATTGGGTCTCCCCTCGACCCAGCTCTAAAAGAGTACCAGGTAATATCTTGGGAAGTAAAGAAAGTCATTGTAAAGCTCACCCATCACCGCTGAGTCCAGCTTCAAATGCCCGGTGCGCAACAGGCGTGTTCTGTTATTAGAATTAGTGTAGCTGCATTTTGGCTGTTCTCAGACTGTACTCTTCTCCCTCTATGCTGCATTATATATCAGAATGGATGCACACAGGCTGTTGTTTCTTTTTCGTCCCCCCCCCTCTCCCTCACCCCTCCCCCCGCCTTCCTCCCCCACCTCCCACTCCCTTTTGATCACACGAAGTGGAATATTCTCTTAGCAACCTCAAACTCTGCTATCTGGTGCTGTATTTTTTAGCTCCTTCGATGTCTTTTCCATTTTTTTTTCACTTTTCTTTCTAATTTTCTTCTTCGTGTATTTTAGTTCATCGGTTATTTATTCTGCATTTTCGTGGGTTTTTCATAAGGGCTACTAAATATTTTAAACCCAAACTAAAGACGATCGTAGCTAGTTCTTACATTTAGGAAATGAAAGTTTACGAAAAGACAGGAAAGTTTTAGTAAAGTTTATTACTTTCCAAACACATCACACTCACAGAACAAATCTATCACATTTACTTTCACGTGTACTTATTATTTCAGCCTCTTCCCAAACATCAACAATTAATGTTACCAGCAGTTAACCGTTATTGATTTCTCGAAAAAACCAAGCTTGCGATATCCGTTTAAAAGAAATGGAAGAAGGAACTTAGAGATATTATCGTCATCAGGGATTTTAGCGATCAGAGTCAGCAGACGTGGTTCTGCACCTCACACAGTCACCGGAGTCAGCAGACGTGGTTCTACATCTCACACAGTCACCGGAGTCAGCAGACGTGGTTCTACACCTCACACAGTCACCGGAATCAGCAGACGTGGTTCTACACCTCACACAGTCACCTGAGTCAGCAGACGTGGTTCTACACCTCACAAAGTCACCGGAGTCAGCAGACGTGGTTCTACACCTCACAAAGTCACCGGAGTCAGCAGACGTGGTTCTACACCTCACAAAGTCACCGGAGTCAGCAGACGTGGTTCTACATCTCACACAGTCACCGGAGTCAGCAGACGTGGTTCTACACCTCACACAGTCACCGGAGTCAGCAGACGTGGTTCTACACCTCACACAGTCACCGGAGTCAGCAGACGTGGTTCTACACCTCACACAGTCACCGGAGCCGTAGATCAGCTGTTTTATTTTCCAGCCAAAGCAATGTCATGAAGACTTTCAATTTATCGCGTTGTCTTCCCTTTGTTTTTCCCCCCACCGAACTTGCAGCGGCCACCAAGTTTCCTCCTCTTATAACATACCACACACACATCTTTTTAAAGTCCATGCCATATGGCGTTGGTAGTCATGTCTAACCACAACTTTCTGTCTCGTGTACGAGGGGCGAGGGAAGGGGGGTTGGTGGTGTAGAACCCCTGCCACACTAATAAGCCTGTCGTAGGAGGCGGCTAATATGATTGTTTCTTTAGAACTTAGAATGCATCTACGAGACGAGTAACCAACAGTGTGTATGCAAAAGAACCAGATCTGTAAAACGGTTGTGCACTCAGAACTCAAGTACCGTAATAAGATCAAAGTCCAGAAGTGGACGAATAGCAGAACTTTATCCAGGAGTCCTACACGCAAGCCCAGAGAACCTTCATAGGACCCCCTCCCCTTTTCCATCTACACCACAAAAAGGGTGAGCACAGACAGTCATAGCAGTTAGGCAGAGCGCCAAGAAGCAGTGGAAGACTGCGACAAATATTTATTAACGAAATTACAGGAGTTTATTAATCCTGAATAGCTGGTTGATATTTGTTCTATGTGTGTTAGTCTGACCCAGTCGCTTGTTGGTTCATGAACACTTTGAACGACATATGAGTGTTTCTCTGCTTTTCGATCTTCCTAGTTATAGTTTGTGCTGTATTAATTTACTTCCTAATACCAGCTCCACTGCAATAACCTATATTGTTGAAACCAATGTGAGAATACAGGTTTTCCATGAACTGTATTTCACTAAAGGTATTTTGTTTGTTGTTGTTGTTTGTTTTAGTATCCAGAAGCCATAAGTTGTTAACCCTTAGGCTCGGTATTATGGATATCGCAACCTTTCGGCCTTGATTCCATTGTAAATACCGTAAATCTGGGAGAAAATGTGGCTTTCCTGCCTACCCCCGGGATTGAACCCGGACCACAAGGAGTTCGTCACCCGGTCTCCGCGCAATCCGGTTTAGCCAACTACGCTAGAGAGCCGGGCCTAAAGGTATTTTAAATGCTGGTTATTTAACACCAATCCTCTTGATGTTTAGCAGTTTCCCAGAATTAAAAATATGAGAGCTAAAACACGGAGTAGTCATGTAAATAGATATATAGAATAAAACAAAATAGCATCATGAATGCAATAAGATGAATAAATGCACACTTTAACTATGTACAAATGGCATCTGGAAATGTGAGATAACTGTCCAAGCAGCACAAACAACAATTTGATGTGGTTAATAATAAAACATTTTAGTTGATTGTCACGTGACGGCTAGATGAGAGAGTATCTGCTTATGCAGAAAACCACAAGCGACAATAGATATATGGCATATTTTTGTCTCATATTCTTCTTCTTCTCCTTTTGTCGTCTCACTGATTCTATGCTGTAGCCCAGTGTCGTGGATTTCTGTATTTGTCTTACGCTTCTCGGGTGGCTTGGGTGATTGATTTGATCATCTTTTTACAGGTTTGTGCTACACTATTTTTTCATCTCTTTCTTGCTCGTCATCTCGTCTTCCTCCCCATGTTCTGCTATAAACAGCAGTGTAAGCTGTTGCATTCTCAGTAGATGGATGAACCATTTTATTCTTTGTCTCTTAATATAATCCATTCATGATCTTCACCTCCTCCCCCCAGCTTTCTTTCTAATGCCGGTATTCGTAACTCTGCCTCATATTAATAGACAATATATATGTATATGTGATCAAGAGTTTGAACAAATCAGAAACATACAAAGTAGTTGAAAGTGATTGTATAGTTTATTCCTCAACTTGACTTCATATCGCCATCGTAAGAGGAAACATCTCTCCCCTGCTTAGGAATGCAGGAAACATTTGTCCCTGCTTAGGAATGCACTGAGCTGCAAACACATTTGGGGGAATTTAACGAACTGGCCGTACTCCCGACCCATCTTTCGTCGCCGATTCCTTCTGCCTTCTGTACCACCCGATATGGCACGTTGTTTTCAAGCTAAGGAAATATAATGTTGGCTACAGTTCTCAGCCTATGGTGGAAATTTGGACTGAACATTGTATACGTGGGGCCTATTGAGTTTTAGAAATGTTCACCAATTCGTTACCTTTATGGGACTGCCTAATGTAAAAACACAACAGTAGTCATATTCTATAAAAGTTTACAATGGCCAGCACTGACTGGGCCTGCAAGCAAGTTCCAGTTCTATAAATCATCTAGAGTATCCAGTCCCCAGAAAGACAGAGCATGTGGTTCCATTACTGGCTATTCTATATTAAAACCAGATTGTTATGAGAGAAAGAACTTAGCCTTCATGATTCATTTTCATTGATGAGCTTCCTTCAGTGCACTGTAATGCTGCGTTGTGTAAATCGTTAACGTTTGGTGTCTCCTAAGGAGTCTGACTGTACTGACAGAAAGGATCATGACAACCTATTGTATCCCACCAGGTCTATCTGGAGTCAGTGTCTTCTTCAGTAACAGAAGTTAAACGTGGACTAGTTCAGAAGTGGACTTGCCGTGAATATATTTATGACTAAAAATCACATAGTAGTGTTCAGTGATAGCACACCGTCTTCTACGAGGGACTGTCTCGATATTCTTTTTCTGACATCTCCTTATAAGTGAGAGACATGGTAATATTTTCTGTGATGATAAGGTTTTGTTGTCAGAGATATTTAATTTATGGGCCACTATCTTCAATGGACAATAAGTGTCTTATATATTATTGCTTTCTAAATTAAGTTATATTGGATACTGCATTCGTTTTTCCTATTGTTACCTTACAGACTTTTCAGAGCCTACTGGTCAGTAGAAGCTGAGGCTAATTAATTAAATGCTAGGTGGTAGAGAGCATGAACAGGGTAGGCAAAAAATGGTTTCTATTTATTCTGAAAGTATCTAGTTACATTGCTCTGCCTATGCCATGGGTGGAGTCTCTTATTGGACACTGGGCTCCTTAACTGTATAATCGCGAGTCACCGACAAGACAATGTACCTGCCCTGAGTGGTGAGAACCTCGATTTCGGGTAAAGAGGAGAGACTAATATCGCCCCCGACAATGATAATGGTGAACATTCAGATTGCTGTGGAGAAAGCTGTTGTGAAAGTCTCAGACATGGGTAGGCCGTTGGTAGATACCATAGAATATCGTTCAGATCTTTGTCTTCTGCAAATAACACTAGCAAAATACCGGAGCCTTCCTCGAAGTGTAACCAAAAACACAACCTCTTTCCTAAAATGTTTCCCAGTCAGACAGTAAATACAGAAGTAACATGCGTAATGAGACAAGCAAATGACTTCGATCACTTTTCTCACATCAAGGTATGTGAATAAATGAGACCAGGTTTTGTCTCCGCGGATGTCGTCATCGTTCATAAACATGTTACCGTTAGGAAAAATTGGCTGCAGGCAGACGACAACAGTAGCACTTATCTGAGTGATGATCAGATAGAAAGACACCGCTAGGAGAGTAACTGTCGAAGCCGTGCTGTTTCCATTCCTACACTGCTGCCTCTTCATCATGTCGTTTCTTGAAATTTTGAATATTTCTCTCAAAACTAAAATATTGAAAATCAAAACAACAAGCGGCACGATCACAAAGGCAAAGATGTCGGTTATCCAGGTCCATAAACTCCAGAAGCTAGTGGAACCTTCTGTGTTTGCTTCGGACCGGATGTTACAGGTGCCTTCAAATGCGCTGAATGTCCAGATGTAGATCTGAGCAGACGCCAAACCGACAGAAAACAGCGCTAGGAATATCACAATAATGATGGCTCTTTTGACAGTACACAGTTTCTCCTTGAGAAACGGGTGGCATACGGCCACGTACCTCTCCACCGTGAAGCCTAGAACAAGAAATGTGGACAAATACTGTGGTATGTAGTACAGGAAATGAAATATTTCACAAATGACGTGAGTATTGTAGACATCAAACCCCCAGGAGAAATGGAGCGTCTGAAGGAAGTGAAGGAACAGGAACAACCAGTCAGATATTGACAGTGCTCCGAGGTATATGGCTGAGGAATTGTTTCGCCGCATACGTTGTCCTAACCAAACCACTGCTGAGATGGGATTACCGACAAAGCCAATGATGTACCAGAATGGCGTCACAACGCGCTCAACAAATTGTCCGGAAGGTGCAAATTCGTCTAAGATGGCCGTCCTGGAGGAGTACCTCAGTAGGATGGAAGATGGAGCCACCGTAGTATTGTTCATTGTTTATCTGCAGACAAAAGAATACACGTTATATGAAATAGAAACACTGTATTCGTTTTAATGTTTCCTATAAACTACAAGAAATGACTTTTACTGTTAATAAAATGGTAATAATTTCTTGTTGATCGAAAATAATAAACAATGGCAGAAATTAAATAAAAACGGATATATATATATATATATATATATATATATATATATATATATATATATATATATATATATATATATATATATATATATATATACATGAGAATGGTCAAGGATAGGGGGGGGGGGGGGGGGAGATCAACAATTAAAAACTATCATCTACAACAGTATCTGTCAAACTTGTTTGATTTTGACTATCGCCCTTTTTCAATAAAAAATTCACCCTACGCACCCTCTCACTAGAAATATGATGATCATCATCATGTGCCGTACCAAAATGAAGTAATGATTTGTCAGGTCTGTGATCATGTCCCGTCCCATGCATGTGGCCAAACATTCCAAGCATGTACCTCTTTCTCTACCCTTTGCCCTTCTTCAAAAATCCAGTGACAGTTTCTAATTACCCTTTTTTCTCAGTCTCGCCAAGGGATCTAATGTCTAGAACGAAATATGTGCGATTGAGATTAGACTATCCCATCTCCACAAACAAATCAAGAATAAAACTACATAGAACTAAATCGACAGTGGCTCACAGCTCGGCACATACTCCGTTCTAAACGGGCTTTGTCATACAAGACTAGTTTGTCTTATGTAGTACATCGGAAAAGGCTGATCTACCATTTATTTTTGTACCAGGCCTCTCTGGTGTTCAAAATGTGCAGAATAATCTGGCGGACAATGTCTGCTCTTGGATTAGTAAAGAGCGGTATTATCCATTCTATGCGAGGTGCATATCACAAAGACGATTACGGTGATAAGTATGACTCCGTGACCCGGTTATAATGTCTTTATTTATAGTTAAAAATAAAAAATCACCGGCTGTAACACAACACTGAAACTGGTATCAACAGTCGATCAGAAATCAGAAACGTTCTTCACCCCCCCCCCCCCAACCTCTTGCCCTCCCCCTCCAGTTTGATGGAGTCAGCTACCGACCCCTGGACCGCGGCAGTGTCCCAGGGGGCGGTAGCGCCCACTTTGGGAAACACTGATCTACAGCAGTAGATAAACAACACATTTAAAATGAGGTTTGTAAAACGCTATGTATTCTCAACCAGTCTTTATGGCTCATAAACCTGGACAATGAACAGGCAAACGGATAGCTGATTAAACATCCTGGAGATTTTGTGTATAAAATAATAAGTATTATTTAATGGAAATGGGAACAATCAAATTTTGAGGCTTCAGGGGAAATGAGAATGAAAAGGAAGTTGGAAGATAATGGAATAAAAAAAAAAAGATAGGTAATTACTTGGGTGAAATTAACAACAACAACAAAAAAAAAAAAAAAAAAAAAAAAAAAAAAAAAAGTAAAAAATATTTTTATAACGATGAAACAGAGATGTAAACAAGCAGCAGTTAGTGTAGAGCCAGGGCGTGAGGCGGTTAGTGTTGGAGATCCATTACAGCAGTCGTTGATTGTGGTGACGGCACATGATTGATTGATTCACAGATGAGACACAAAAGCACTGTCTAACACGCGTTTCCCTTCACGCTGCCATTTGTCTATTGCCTAACTCGTTTGGTACTAAATATGTGATGGTTTTTGTCAACATCACAGAGGCCGGCCTTACTTTGTACCTTTTCAGTACCCATTCATAGCAGCGTCAACATTTAAGCATAGGTTAATCGTGAACATCCACTTTGATGAGGATTTAAGTAATAACACCGAAGGTTCCCGCTAGCTTACAACTAGTCTTGTTGAGGTATTTTAACATTCCTATATCCCTTTAACTCACACCACAGCTTGCTGAGGCATTTTTCAGTTACCATATCCCAACAACTTACACCACGCCTTGTTGAGGGATGTATTAGTTCCCACATCCCACCAACTTATACCACAGTTTGTTGAGGGATGTTTCAGTTCCCATATCCCAACAACTTACACCACGCCTTATTAAGGGATGTTTCAGTTCCCATATCTCACCAACTTATATCACGGTTTGTTGAGGGATGTTTCAGTTCCCATATCCAAACAACTTACACCTCGCCTTTTCAAGGGGTGTTTCAGTTCCCATATCCCACCAACTTATACCACGGTTTGTTGAGGGATGTTTCAGTTCCCACAAGCAAATTAAGAATACAATTTTTCTTCTTCTTCTTAAAGTCCATACCGTCTGACGTTGGTAGTCATACCTATCCATAACCTTCTGTCTCGTAAACTTTCAATCAACTGTGATACAGATAAACATTATGCCATGGTGTCAGATTGTCCAGCATCTTTTCTCTTGGTCTCCGTCTACCTCTCTTCACCTTTAACTTTCCTTCTGTCACGATGAACTCCAGTTTTATCCTTCTCTACACATGATTTAAGAATGTAGATGGGCTCTTTCTGATGGGAGTCAGTTTAGTTAAAGACATTTTAGTTGCTATTTTTATCTATCCAGTGTATTTTTTGTTATTCATCTATAAAACCGTATGTCCGGAACTCCCAAATAATGTTTCATCAATCTACTAACTGTCCATGATTCACTTCCGTGTATCAAGATATAATTTATATAGGTTTTTTTTAAAAAGAATTATCTTTCTGGTCTCAATTGGCAAAGACAGATTGCATAAAATATTCTTCATTTTGTAAAATTCTGCCAGTACTTGAGCTTTTCTACATTTAACCCTTTTAATACATTTTCTATGTGATGTTTTCAGTGTGCTCAAGTACTTAAGCAAATAAATTTGCTTGTGGTTGTCACATTTACTTTAATGTTGAATTTTGGATGGTCAGTTTTCAGCTGTTCAAACTTAGACCCTTGTTTTCACTTTCTGTTGCAATTATATCTATCATTTCTTGTGGTTATTATTGTGCTGTACAAATTGAATAAACTGGGTGATAGTACACATCCAATGTTTTGAACAGTTCTAACTTGGTTGTCAATCTTTATGATGCTTCTTGTTGTCTGTATATTTTTTTTCCTCACATCTTTACCGTCAATGTACAAGGTTTCCAATATTCTAATAATTTCTTTAAATTTTACTCTATCAAAAGCTTTACTGGAATCAATAAAACAAATACAGATCTCTGTTCATTTTAATCATTTTTTCTGAAAGTCTTCTCAAGATAAATACGTAATTGTTTGTGCCTTTTCCTGCAACAAAACCACACTGCGCTTCTCCAATTTCTGGTTTAATTTTTGCACCTTATTTTTCTCATGATAATTCTCATTATTATTTTAGTTCCAAGAATCATTCAACTAATTGTTCGATGTTCTCCACATTCCACTGCACCAGACGTTTTTGGTAAAGGTATGAAAAAAAGATTTCGAAAAGTCATCAGGTGGGTGTCCTCTGTTTTACATATCATTGAACAATTATGTCAAAATTTCCAAGCCCAATTCAACAGCAGCTTTTAATTCTTCAATCCTGATGTAAATTGACCCTCGAGATTTACATTTCCTTATGCCGTTTATAGCATCATCCATGTCCTCTTTCACTATTGGCGGTCCTTCCCCATATTCATGACTCTCTGGTCTGCTGTTATCATAGAGTAGCTCTTTTATATAATCCGTCCATTTTTTTTTTCAATTATCTCTTCTTTGTCCATTAATAATTCACCTTCTTTTGTTTAAGCAACTACTTGCTATTTTCTAAAGTTGATAGTTCTTTTATTCTTTTATGCATGTCTTGTGTCTTCTATGTTCTTTAATTTCTTTGTGCTAATTATTTGGTCAAACTTATTTCGTTGCACTACATTTACGTACAATTTCTCCATGTATTATTTTATATGAATCTTGGTTGTGTTTATTTTTTTTCTTCTTCTTTAAGTCAGATGTAAAATTGCATCTTTCATCCATTGTTTTCATCGCTGTCTTATTTACTTCTGGTAATATTTCTTTTGATGTATGTTGTATTGACGCTTTTAGCTTTTTCCATTGTTCATCTAAACTGTTTAACTTTTCAATATCATTGCATCTTTTTTGAACAGTAATGGTGTATCTCTGATTCATTTCTTGATTTGATTCAGGCATTGCCTAATTTAGCTCTGTATCTCTCGGAGCCCTTTTTAGTTTCGTCAGCTTTATTCTTAGTTTTTTTTTTTTTTAAATGACTGGCACATGGTCACTATTACAGCCTATATCTGGTCTCGTTTTTCCTGACGGAAAACTGTTTCTGAATCTTTTTTTAAAACCCTCTGCTGTCTATGAACGACTTTTCTTCAGTATTGAAATCATAAACTGTACTAGCCCCTACCCCCGCCCCTTTTCCTTGCTTCTCCGCCTGTTTAAGTCATAATATTTTGCTTTCTAATTTCTGTAACATTGGCTTTGTTAAACCTTTCATTTGTACCTGCGAAATTACTATTGATGCACATCCGTATGGCGCTACAAGAGAGATAAACATCCTCAAAATGAATTATTTACCTTGTTTACCTAAAATCTAAAACATTTACAACGGCTTAGATATGTCAGACTGTTCACCACACAAACGGTTTGGGTGCTTCCATTCTTTCCACTCTTCCAAGAATGAGGGGAAGAAGGAGAAGAAGCAGACTGAAGAGAAAAAGAAAGTGAAACAGGAGCAGGAGGAGGGAGGGGTGGGGGGTGAGCAGAAAACCTGCTATTGTAATTTTTTCTTTCAGATCATGCTTTGCACAATTCACAGTAAAATTTAGACACACAAAGATCAAACATGCAACACTTAACTGATCTTTTTTATGGTCTTCCCCTTTCTATGTGCTTATTATGTTACTGAATGCTCTCTGTTCATTCAGTTTTGTCAGTGTTCCCTGTCTTTCTTCATGCCTTAAGAACAACTGTTTACTTTTTCACAGTTCTTGATGAATATGCATCGTACTGGACCAAAATGTTCAGGTCATGAACTGGTGCATTTAGGGCAACAACAGAAGAAATAAAAAT